TAGCTAAATTGATTCTCTTGTAAAACTGATAATGTCTTTATCTCAATCAACCCTATGGGGATTAAATTGATGCATATTTTTGATCGAATTTTTATAGTGTCTGTTCGTTTAGAATTAATTTTGTTCTTTGAGTCGAGTCAGATTAGATACACCACAGGTGGTGGTGGTTGTGGTGGTGGTGAATGAGCTCAGCTCCAAACTCGAGGAACGGTCGTCCAATGCTTAATATGTCGTCGATCTGACCGGTTGATGTGAAGTAGTATCCAACTACTTATGTCGATTAAACAGTAGTACATTAACAACATAATAATAATAATGGCTTTATTCCAAACAGTATTTGTGGTACAGGTATGGAATTTTCAGCGTGCATTACAATATTGCATCTAATTATCTCATAAATTTTATAAGATTTAAAATATAAAAAGCAACAACAACAAAAAGAAAAAAAGAAAAGTAAAAGAAATAGAAAAGAACAGCTTTGCATCCACATATATAAACAATACACCACAGGATATGATATATAAAATTAGTGTGTAATAGAATATATGATTATTATATTATTATTATTTCCTTTAATTCCTAGAGGAACATAGGGCTTCAGCCATGCGTCTCCATTGCGTTCGGTTCTCTGCTGTAGTTTTCACCTGGCTCCAAGTCTGCCCACACGCTTTCAATTCCTCTTCACATGATCTCCTCCAGGTCACCCTTGGACGACCAACTCGTCGCTTCCCTTTCGGGTTCCACTCGAGCAATGGCTTGTCTAGTGATGTCACTTGCTGGTTTCCTCAGAGTGTGTCCAATCCATCTCCATTTCTTCCTGCCTATTTGTTTCACGATCGGTTCCTGGTTGGTTCGCTCCCAGAGATCTTTGTTGCTGATCCTCTCCGGCCATTTGATCTTGAGTATTGAGCGAAGGCATTTGTTAATGAAGGTCTGTAGCTTGTTTGAGCTGCTCTTTGTGACACGCCAAGTCTCTGATCCGTATAGTAGTACTGACTTCACATTGGAGTTGAAAATCCGGATCTTATTTTTGACGCTGAATGCTGTAGACCTCCACACAGACTTGAGAGAAATGAAAACTTGTCTTGCTTTTCCGATTCTGGGTTTGATATCCTCGTCAGTTCCGCCTGTAGTTGAGACGATGCTTCCCAGGTAGGTGAAAGAAGTTGTTTCTTTCAGGTTCCTCCCATTTATGCTGATTGTTGTCGGTTGTTGCTGTTGATGTTGGCCAGGAATCTTCATTACCTCTGTTTTGTCTATGTTCACTTGAAGTCCTATCTTTGATTCTTCTTCTGCCAATTTGTTGCTTTTCACTTGCATATCTTCCAGTTTGTGGGAAATCAGACATATATCATCGGCGAAATCCAAATCCTCCAAGGCTTTTGTGTCGGTCCATTTTATGCCTGTTCCCTCGTTTGTTGCCGTTGTCTGCCGCATTATCCAATCAACTGCAATCAGGAAGATCATTGGTGACAGTAGACAGCCTTGTCTCACTCCCGTCCTCACTTCGAAGGATTCCGTGAGCCTCCCGTTGTGGATTACTTGGCATGCAGCGTTGTCATACAGCTGTTGGATGAGATGTATAATTGTCGGCGGCACCCCGTAGTAGCGAAGTAGTTTCCAAATCACCTCTCGATCGACGCTGTCGAAGGCTTTCTCAAAATCGATGAAGTTGAGATAGAATATATGAGCAACAATATAATAGTAACAAAGAAAGGAGAACAAAAGCTAATGGGAACTATTTGTTAGAGTGCCGCAGTAAGGTGATCGTGTCATGCCTAACAGTTTTCTCATCACATAACAGCTGTGCCAGATAATGTATTGCGGAGTTTTTATACTTGGTAGTCCTGGCATATAGCTTCCTATAGTTGCTTCTAGTTCTACCAGATGAAATGCAAGGAGAGAGCTGAGTATAGAGAGGGTGTTCGGGGTCTGACAATATAGAATTCTCTAGTTTCTTACATGACATTATATGTCTATCCACAATAATGTTAACCAGTTGGTTTAACGAAATCCCACTTCCCCTACTAACAGCTTTTAGTGTCCTACGCAGCGAAGCAAATTCTTTCTTAAGTAGTCCAGGGAAGATTAATGGGGAGCATTAAAGAGGGATGGGTAGAATACAGGAATTGACAAAGTGAGAAAGCAAAGACTTCTTTATACCAGACTGCCTTAACTTCCTAACGTTGAACGTTAAGCGAAACATCTTTCTAGTAACTAGCAAGATGTGAGAGGACCAGGAAAGATTGGAGGAAATACTCAGTCCAAGGTACTTGGCATTAGATGCAGTTTCAACCTCTATGCCGTCAATGATAGTGGGACCATGTGAGCTAGCTAGTTGTTGTAGGTCACGTTTTCGTCTGAAAGTGAAACTTACTACCTGACATTTAGACGGATTCAGTTTAAGACCGTTTGAAGAGGACCACTGACTAATTTCCGAGAGAAAGTTATTTAATTTGGAACAGACTGACTGAGAGTTGACAGGCATGGAGACAGAGAGGTCATCAGCATACTTGACAAAAGTGGCTACATCAGAATGGGGCAAGTCATGTAAGAAAAAAGAAAACAGAAAAGGAGAAAGAACAGCACCTTGAGGAACACCAGCTAAAGTAAGTGAGGTAGTGGAGGACTTTCCATTGTAGACAGTGTACTGCTTCCTATCAGAAAAGTAGGAATACAACCACTTATTTATCCAGCTCTCATTCTGTGTTGCAGCAAGCTTACTTAACAAGAGAGACCTAGGCACAGAGTCAAATGCAGATGTGTAATCAAGGAAGGCACACCGAACATATTCGGCTTCTCTATCTAAACTAGAGACTATATTATGATATAGAACTACAGTGGCATCTAAGGTACACCTACTATGTTTATAGGCAAACTGGTTGGGGTCATTAAAAGGCTTTAAAGAGGGTTCAAGATTAAGTAAAATAAGTCTTTCCATAACTTTTAAAAAAGGTGAGGTAATAGCAATGGGTCTAAACTTGACAGTAGGTCCACTTGTTGATTTAGGCCCTGGAACAATAATTCGTATACATTATGATGATAAGAAAACGCTGACAAACTCCAATTGGAATTTCTAACCACCTTGATGATGTGTGATAATAATCTAGACTGACTCCTTTTGAAAAAGCCTTAGCTTTATCTTCATTACTTCAACGTTTTGCAGAATAGAAAATGAGAAAATATGTCTTTAATAAAGTTTTTTGGTTATATAAATAAATATAAATTTTTTCTGAGGTGTGATTGTAACGCTTAACATACAGCTGACTTTTTAACCTTGTTATTTCACCAAAAAGAATATCAATAAGGTGTTAAAGTATGTAGTTGAAGCTAGATGATGCTTATAGTTAATTGATAATTTGTTGCACCAAACTGATTTTAGTAAAATGTTTCAGTCAGAATTAGAAACATACATTAATGCATAGTTATTCAAATTGTGATGTGATGTACACAAATAAATATTTATTTATATCACATGTAGTATTTGGTTTATGCATGGAATTGTTTATTAGGATATATATATATAGTTTTGTGTGTACTTTTCCTTGAACATCTAGTTTATACAGGAATGAGTCACAGGTTTTGTTGATACCTGCTGAGGTTTAACCTTATATTTCAGTAGGTTCAGCTCCATTGACAGTTGCCCTAAGTTGCATGATTTTTATATTTTGTCCCTTTTCGTTCCCGCTGGGATATTGGTTTGAAGTTTCAGTAGCAGTGATGTTATTGTTTTCCATGGAGTGTGATTGTTAGCCTCACGCTCAGCCTTTCCTGCTTACCAGGCTTACTACCGGCTAGATGAGGTTTATGAGTGCGTAGGCTGAGGATCAAAGCTCGGACCACATGTGTGGGGTCGGTAAGCATTCTACCGCTGAATATATGTATATATAAGCGTACTGGATTTCAAGTTATTCATTCGTGTTTATGATTTCCCATTGGTTTATCTGACAGCATTAGTCAGCTTCATTTTGGTATTATATGGACTCCTTTGATAGATGCCTTTATATTATCCAGGATTAAAAAGGACTCGAAGTCACTTGCAGGGTATGGTTAACAAGTCGAATCCATAAGAAGCGTTTCGTTCTCTTTGTGACTCTTTATCTGAATGTACTTACTCCACCAGTGACTGTCAGTGTTTCAACTGAGACTTGAAGGCAGTACCTCCATCAGTTCAGACGCCACAGTGGTATTCACTGGTCCCAAATAGGTGGAAATGCACATTCTGGATTTTGATGCCAGCCACCATCAAAAGAGTTGTGGATTTCTCTTTTATTGTATTTAATTTTATTGTTTGTAATCGTAGAGATTGATGTTAAGTAGCAGGATACTCACTAACTAACTACTCAAGTGGCCCGGGGTCCAGTTCCCGGCTGACGAAGCAATCCTAAACCTCGTCCGGTAGTTTACAAACTGTAAGCACAACAGCCAGCAATCAGCATAAATGGAAGGAACCTGAAAGAAACTACCTCCTTTACCTACTTGGGAAGCATTGTTTCAACTACAGGCGGAACTGACGAGGATATCAAAGCAAGGATCGGGAAAGCAAGGCAAGCTTTCATTACTCTCAAGTCTGTGTGGAGGTCAACAACATTCAGCGTTCTATTCTTATATCAAGAAATGAGGAGCGGTGAGGCGTAAGTTTGACAGTCCCATCACAGGTACTGAAACTCCAAAGCTTGGTGCCCTCCATGTTCCACTTGGAATGCAAAGCAACAAAAAGTACCAAGTGTGACATCAAGTTTATGAAGAAAGTATCATAGTTATGTTGAAATCTGGAAGCTCAAGTAGTCTAAGTGTGTCAATCACATAAATGTGTTACCTTCAATCATCACTTAGGAAGAGAGATAGAAGAAGAGATTGTCAGTTTTTAACATGGTTGATTAGTAATCAAGTATACTTGAATTTACCTGTAAATAATAAATAAACAATACATTTTTTAAAAATTTATTTACTCAAAGGATTCACTATTGTTTCTTTTTACTTTTGTCTTTTTCCTTTAGATGGATTTCAAGAACGACAATTCATTAATTTGATTAGGGAGCTGAAAAATTTAACCTTATTAAAACAACATCCACATATAATTCAATGCTATGGAATGTGCATAGATCAAGGTGGGTGATTAGTTTTTCTTTTGCTAACACCTTCTCTGGCTAAAAAATGTTCAGTTACACCTGCGTGTGTATACCTTTTGTTTCTATTTTTATTTTATGTACTTTTTTCTACCTTTTCATTCGGTTTCACCAGATTTGCCGAATTAACAATGACAGTTACATCTTTTGTTACTATGGTTACCATGTCGTAAAGTAACCTACCTGATATTCGATATATATGTATGCATTGGAAAATACACACCAAGCATGCTTCTTAAAAATTATGAAATTTTAAAAAGAGTTTAATTGTAAACTGTGACAGGAAACTCTACTTTACTCTATTAGCTGAAGTTTCAATAGAATGTCAAGCCTTTTTGCCATGAGTAATTTTGAAAAGATGTTTAACACATAATTAAGGAAGGTAAGGTTGTTGCAGCCGATTAGGTGAAACGAAGACCCATGGACTTGTAGACTTCAGCGACATACACAAGTTAAGAGACTAAATTGTGTCCAGCTGAATTATATTTAGAAAAAACCGAAACACTGAAGACACACTGCCTAGTCGTCCCAAGTAATAAAAATTGCAAACTTTTAATTTTACACTTATCCGACTTCCTACCACCAAAGAACGCGATTGGTGAACAAAATGATCGGGTGAATTCAAACAATTAATATACAACAGTTTAGTTTACATGGGAATGAGAAATAGTGTATAAAGTAATAAAATAATATTAGTGTTTGACAGCATATTTCTAGATGTAATAGAAGGCATTACTACTTTTAGTTAGTTCAAGTGAATTGTAGTTTCCTTAACTGTATATTTGTGAGTGGCTTTCGTCGCTGATTATGTGAGACTTAGTTAGACAATCATTGAAAATGGAAGGATACTAATCCTTCATTTTTTCATGTTTTAGTAGTACATATAGGAATGGGTGTCTGTGACTGTGAGATCTTGCGTCTACACTTGTGTGGTGAAAGCTACCTTCAAAAGGATATGGTGTTTTATATAAACCCTCCAACTGTGTTCCTTCAAGGTATCTAGAATTTTATTGCAAGGATAAACACAATACGAAAGTCATATACATGAACTCAAATTATAGTTATGCTGTGATGAGTAGTTTAGACAAATATTTATAGATATCGTTGTCTTGTTTAATATTGTCGGAATTGTTTTTGAAGATAGTTTTAACGGATCGAATTCTTTTTAATTAAAAGTCGCGCTATATGTTATAGAAAGAAAAACTTGAATTTCTCTTAGTTTTACAACTTTATGAATAAGTTAAATTTGTGGATGATGACTAGCAGTGGAATCCAGGATGCGCATTTCGTCCCACTTGGGACTCGTCAACTGGATGTACCTGCATTTCCCAGGTGAGTGATGATGTTCCCCGCACCGAGGCTCGAACCCAGTGCCCATAGTTTTAAACGCCAAAGCGTTATCCACTAGACCACGTGGGCCACGAGAGCCACCTCTTGTGCAACGGGTCATATTAATTTAATTGAACTTTAGATTTTCCCGTCGATTAATTGGACCGAAGTTCCTACTTATTATATAATCAGGTAGGGTAGGTGGCTGATGATTATTACGTGAATTTGAAACAAAGCAGTGTATAATACTCTTGTATTGACCTGTTTGTCACTAAAATTCGAAGAGGTCCTCACAATATCCTCACAACTATGTGAAATAATAATAATCTAAATAAATTGACTATTAGGACTCATTTTTGTTTTCTCTTTCTTTTTTAATTTGTTAACTCTGGTTGTTGTTGTTGGTGGTGGTGGTTACACAATATAAAATTCATTGTCTAATTTCACTATCCCCCTCTACTGCTCACTCCACTTTTAATGATCAATGTGCGCTCAAATTAGGAATTTTGTTTGCAAAAACAAAACAAACAAAGCGTCTCAATTATAGGTCTGTATATTTTCCCCAGTTAATTTTGAATATTATATTACATGTGTTGTTAACCGTAAATGGTAACAGTTCATGCACAACGTTGTTCTACCCTTTTCTTCAATATAACATATATATATATGTATAAATAAGGGTAATCAATAAAATTACCTTGTTTTATACACAAGGGTAAGCTTTATGAATACTCCAAATATTATTATATATCTATCTCTATAAGCAATATTTAATCTCTATGTATGTATAAAAATCGGTTAGAAATGAAATCATAAAAATGTCATGTACATTACGTGATATAAAAACTAATTACTCTTCGAATACACTAGTGTAAGATTTTATTTCGTAGAAAAGTAATTCTTGTTTCTATCCATTGTGTGAGTGTGTATATATATATATATATATATATATATATAGCTATCACTATTAGTAACAACAACAACAATAAAATGAGTAATGCTAATGATAATAATGTTTTTTTTCAACTATTTGTATATCTCAGCAACTGCTTTTTAATTAATTGATTAGATAATGCAAACTACCACTGGTTTTCTCTTTTGTTTATATCATTCTGTTGAATGATGTAATGCTTAATCATTTTTTTCTTTTTTTTTCGTTTCCACTATATGTTTTTTAAACTCACTTTATGTGTGCTGCATAGTTTTGTAACAGGTGTTTTTCTAAAAAAAAAATTTACGATACCTAATAAGCCCTTGATTATTATCAAGTGAGTTAACTACTTTATCGCGATGAGAAAAAAAGTTATTTTCAAGTATTTGGTTTGTAGGGATTTGATTGGCTGGTTACAGGATTTCATTATGAGCTGACATCGGTTAGAGAACTATTGGAAAACCTGCGGGGAGTACTGGGTAACTGTTTCGCTCAAGTTTGGGACTATTCATCAGTACGCACCCACCACTGGCGTTCGAACCCAGGACATCTTGGTTACAAGGCAGCGAGCTCGTAGACCATTAAGCCACTGGGACGCGATCCAATAGCCAGTCCATGAATTCCAGTTTCTGCCAATTCACGACATAGCGCGACCGCCAGCCAGTGTCTTCGGCAAGTTATTTCAATTGGAATTGAAATAGAGTAGACTTAAACTGGCCTAGACATGGAATTACTGTACTCTAACTGTAAGCAGCAGCAGAAAATGCATTCCCAATAATAAAATCAAGAGATCTGGATTGGATATAGACCTGATAGACTTCAGGTTTGATTGGATCAATCTTAGTAATTTTGTGAAACACAAGCGATTTAATGATTTGAATCTCTTGGTTGAAAGTAAATAGAGTTTTGAAATAATAGAGAAGATTTGTAGCTCAGGTGGGGATGATTTTTATTTGGTTAGGTTCTTTCGAGTTGGTTGCACAAAGCTTTCGTTGTCCCCCACCCCCACTAGACAACATCTTCAGTACAAGTTTTCATATATGAAGTGAACTTGCTTGAAATCACTTCTTATTAAAGCTTGGACAATGAAATTTTCGCAATTATAAATCAACCAGCTCAGAGAACACAAACAGATAAAAAGTAGTGTTTACCAGCGGACTGTAAAACAAAGTTTTCTGTCTGACATCGGGTAATTTATCCGTCGACTTACTGTGACTTGTTATTCCAGCTATATCCTTTATTTATATAACCTGTGGCATTTTGTACTCAGGCTTTTTTGGTAGGTTTGCTTGTGGAGGATGTTTTTCCCTGCAAGTTATCAAGAATTGACCTGGTGTGATGACGTAATTTAAGTAGGTGAAATAGTTCTGTTAGATTTATGCGCCTATAGTATGCATAATTATCAAAATATGTTGAATAAAATCCAAAGAACGATGATCTGGAGGATGTTTCCTTCATCAGAGAAACGTGGAATGGTCAGTGTTTTCTGTGAATTGATATCTTAGTTGAATGTGAAAGTGATTGGAATGCATTGACATTAACATGTATTTGGAAATTCTGTTACTAGAAATCTCTACATGGATAGAGAAGTTTGCTAACGTACGTTATGTATACTCTGCAGGCAAGATGTGCTGTTGTTGCCGCTTAGTAAAAGCTGTTTCTTTCTGTCTCGGTATTTGCTTGTGAGACACAGTCATCAACATAGTGAAGTTATAGTTTGCTGATAGTAGCTATTCTCATAACATTGTTTTCATGTAGAGTGGAATAAAACAGAGGCCATCTGTTAGAATTTCTCCTTATTTTTATGATTTGAAGTAAGATCAATTTGGAGAGAAAGAACAACAGCACAGTTGATTTGAGCTATATACGATGAGATTTTGTTGACTAACTGTTTGGAATTCCTGGGATTCTTGTGATTAATATTTCAGTTACCTGAGTTAGAAGTGGATTACAGCGTTTCTTTTGAAGTGTTTAATGCTCTTCCCCATCTATATAATGTAAATAATTAGTTTAGATTATGGGTAGTGTAGAGATTTGACGAATCAACATTAATTAGAGGAATCCTGAAACCTAAGGATCACTGAACAACATTATATCACGAATTGTGACAAAGTTAGAATTCACATGTCATTGAGTCCTTCCCAAGTGGCTGAATGGTCTACCAGCTGGCCTTGTAACCTGAAGCTTCGTGGTCCAATCCCAGGTGGGGTCGTGGGTGCTCACTTCCGAAGAGTTCAAAAACGTAGACAAAACAGCTATCTAGTGGTCCCTGCTTTTCAATAATTCTTTAACTGGTATTGGTTCGCGACGAAATCTACGTTGAAGTCAATGTTCAAATTTATCATCTTACTTGGTTTGAACAAGAAATATAATTGAATGTGTTTTGTCCTACTTTTCTACATGATGCATCATTAGTGTAGTTTATCAATCGGTAGAGACAATTTCGAATCATAAATAATATTGACTGTAAAATCTCATCTTATTAGGTCTTATCTCAGGAAAAACAAATCTGACTTTCTGCTTATTTATATGATGAACAAGTTAACTATTTGAGAGATAATCTACATGTGTTTTTACTGTCCACAAGTTTTACCCTAGTCCTCTAGTTCTATACGTCCAGTTTCTTTTATACATTTTAATGAAATACGAAAGAACTGTAACACTGAAACCTGTGTGTAAGTAGATATCCTCTAACAATGAAATATATAGTCATTTTTAGACT